TCCTGCAGGATTCGTAGGTCCAGCAAACAAAGTAAAAAAGAGAGTAACAGTGTGAAGGAAAGAAGTCATTGTTTTATCTGTATCTTTGTAAAAAAAAGCAAATGCAAAATAAAACAAACAAAAAAAAAAAAACACAAGTGAAAGCAGGCTTTAGCCTTCTTGAAAAATATTTGCGTGTAAGCTAACACAAGTACCACAGACAATGGTGAGGGGAACTCAATGACATTTTGGTAAAACACAAAAAAGATGAAATACAAAGAGAAAAAGAATAATTTGTATGTCAAGGCCATGTTGTTGGAGGTCGGACTCTGATTGCCGGTTTTTCCTACCGTTTCAGGAGGGATCAAAGTGCGCTTCAATCGGCCTTACAGTTGTACAGTGTGTGACTTTAGCACGTTTTGTCGGCGCTCATTCTCCAAACACCTCCTAGAGACACACCCGGCCATCAAAGTCTGTGACATGATCAAGAGAAAGAAGTCTTAGAGGGATGACAGTGAATTAGAGATAAAATATAGATAATAAAAGGACTTTTTGTAATGTTTTTTATACTTTTTTTCTTGTTCTTTTTTGTGGAAGGGGAGGAGAACAAAGTGTGATGAAAACTTTTAATAGTGCTCGCAATATTGACAAGTTATTTTGCTAGTGGAACTTGGTAGACCCAGCGGTAAAAAAACTATATTTATTAAGCAAATAAAAGTTAAACTAAGGAACTTTGAATAGCAGTTAAAGCTATGAATGAACAAGTGCCCACATGAACAGTCGTCACGTTCTCGGCAAGACTATTTGATCTCCGATGGTGCTTTTTATTCTGACAATTTGCAATCTAATTTACCTAGTCCCGATTTGCATTAAAAAGGACAGCGATCCTTTCATTTTAATTGTACACGCAATAAATCCCTTTGTACTGTATTAATGTGATGTGACAGCCCTGTAACTTTTGTCAATTAAATGGATGAAGCCATTGTGTGTTTCATTCAGCTAATAACTTTCCATGGTATGGTTGCTGTTTCTTACAAACTGGCCTCAATAAAATTCTAAGTGGGATGTTTTCACTCTTGCAGGGCCCAGCTTGGCCTCAGACGATTCAAGCCAGTATTGCCCATATTGTGGTAAAGTAATCAGGCACCGCAGTAACCTGCGAAAACACATAGCCGACATGCATTCTGGAGTATACTACCAGTTCAGGTGCATAGTTTGTGCTAAAGTGTTCCGCACGAAGAACTCCATGTTGACGCACACCTATAGGCAACATCCAGGCATAAAGGTGAAGGGTAACAATCATACTAGCACCCCCACAGCAGCAGCTACCATTTACCCCCACACTTCTACCACCTCCTCCAACAGTCATTAAGAGCCCCTTGTCTTCTCTGTTACAGGAAGGCTAAACATTGGGTTCGTTGTGTGTAGCTTCTGTAAGAAAACCTTCTCGTGCATTAGCAGCCTGCGCACGCACATCCGAGACATCCATGACAATACTGGCCCGTATTGGTGCCCGCACTGCAACAAACCCTCAAAGAGTCAATCAGGGTTAAGAATGCACATCCAGAGACACCATCGTAACTAAACCAGCATCAACCATCTGCAAGACTAAGAGGGCCTTTGGTCTCTTTTCCAGGCCGTGTTGTATCCTCGGGCCTGCCATGTCCTCACTGTTGGAAACTATTCTCCTGCGCAGGTAGTCTGCGCATCCACATCAGGGACATTCACACTACAAGTGGCCCTGTCTGGTGCCCCATTTGCAACAAGCCGGCCAAAAATAAGAATGCATTGAGGGTGCACATTCACAGGAATCACAGGCGTTGTGATAACCAGTGATCTGTAGTCTGTGGACATGGGGTGGATAGTAGTGATAGCTTGTGATAGCTGAATGTAGCAGAGCACTGTATAATTGTTGCTTCTAGTCGTGATATATGTGTGCAGTAGTGCTGAGACAGAAGATTGCAGGCTTTAGACTGTGAAGTTACGTGTCTGAAACACAGGTCCCTTCAGCAGTGTCTTCTCGTTTTGCAGGCCGGCCACCACCACCAACATTTGTCAGTGAGCAACTACAGTCAGTGGGCCCACACTGTCCGGAGTGTGGCAAAGTGTTCTCATGTGTGTCCAATGTACGTGTACACATACGTGATGTGCACGGGACGGACGGGCCCTATGTCTGCCACCTATGCAACAAGCTCTCTAAGAGTGTAAATGGACTGCGTGTACACATGCATCGCAACCATAGACACCTCCAGCACCCACACCTTCCCCACCTTCCTACTCCTTCACAAACTCTACATTAAGTTTCCGTCTCTTTCCAGGCAGGGCCAGCTCCTATATGGGCTTACTTCACTGTCCATATTGTGGCAAAACGTACACGTCCATTGGCAATCTGCGGGTGCACATAAAAGACGCCCACCTCTACTTTGGGCCCTTCCCATGTGCTATGTGTGATAAAGTGTCAAGAACCCAGTCGGGCCTGAGGATGCACATACAAAGGCACCACCGCAACAAAGTCAACTGACAGCACCTCACTCAGGATGCAGTAGGGTTGGCCAGTGCCATGCTTGCAAACCGTGTCCACTAAGTGCTTATTAAGCTGACAGTGAGAGTTAGATGTATGCATGAAATGGTGCTTTTAGGATGGAACACAAAAAAGATATTGTTTATTTGCGCTTGGAGAGGAGTTTGCATTTCGTATCCTCATAATTCTCTCTCAATTGCTAAAAGATTTAATTTTTTATTTTTGTATGATACTCCCTGTGTATTTTTGAAATGGGTCTTGGCACAGTGATAAGAATGAGTGAACACCAAGGCCTTGTGAATTTGGATGTAGGGTGTGAGTACAGTGTAAAAATGGTTGTTGGGTGATGATGATGATGATGATGATGATGATGAAACAGGATGATGATGATGAACATGAATATGAACATGATCATGAGTCCAATAAGTGGCTTATATATAAAGAAGTCTACAAGAAGGGTAAACAAGAGGTCCTCGGAGCTTGGTATACGGGTGAAGCTAAAGCCGGCCTCTTTGTCAATGCCTTGTGCTAGAGCCGGTCCCTCTTTCTTGTAAGGCAGTACACGGTGTGAGAGATGTCATTATCTGTAGTGTTGAGCTTTTTTGTCGTGTGTGGCTTCTTGTTTGGCTATAACTTAAAAAAAACAAACTATATACATGCAGTGACGTTGGAGTCTTGTAGCCTTAACTGAAAAACACTTGGACAGCGGTGGATCCGACAGGTTTTTAAACTCTTAAGCTTTTATATAGGAGGTTGGTGGCAAGTGTCAGGGCACAGTAGAGTGAGAGCATGCTGCCAGTAAGTCACGGGACTGTAGACTTAAAGTAGTCCACCTGCCTGCTGCCTGACTTGCCTGCATCTTACTTTGCATGCCCTCACATCAAGCTGCTCCTGTCATGGCAGTAGATAGTAAAGGGTGTTGTTTTGTCGTTACAGGTTTGGGCTTTTTCCCCCTGGTCCGTGAGCGCAGGCAGGTCCGGTATGAATGCTCGGTTTGTGGTCGTACATTCAGTAATGTGTACAATCTGAAGGTCCACATGCGGGACCAACATTCAGGCCTGGGAAGTGCCAAGTGTGATCTTTGTGGCCTATCATTCAAAAATCTGAGTACCCTGCGAGTGCACAAGAGTAACTACCACCGCAAGACGGCCAGCAAGACTGGTACTGCTGCCCCCTCTGCTGCCTCAGCTGCCTCAGCTGCTCCCTCTACCTCAGCCACCAGCAAACAGGCAGTGGACGAGCCGCGCCTGCACGCCTGACCGTGCAGCAGTAACCCGTGTGGTGTCTCGTTACAGGCTCCGTGGGCAGTACAGTCTCCTTGGCCCCCCGCCTCCATCCTGGCCCTGGTCGGGCTACCTGCGGCGACACCAACTCCCTTGACTGTGTAGGGCCATGGCCGCCGCCCGGCGTGGTAGCGGCGCCTCCATGCTGGCCCAGACAGGCATCAAGGTTCGCATGCGAGCTGTGCGGCAAGGAGTTCACACGCAGGTACTCCGTCAAGGTGCACCAGCGGGATTCGCACTTCACCAGGCCGGACACAGTGTTTGAGTGCACTGAATGTGGCCGAACCGCAGCCACACAGAAAGCTCTCAAAATGCACGTGCACCGCTACCACCGAAGTATACAACTGTGACCTGACAACATTAGGAGCCACCCAGCCGCAAGGACTCGCCGCAGCCGACGCAGCCGACGCCGCGCAGTCCCTGGCTAGCTGTAGACTTAATAGGTTGTGTAGCTGGGTCAGCCAGAAACTAGTTCCGCGTGCTAGTAACACACACCACTGTCGTTTTTTCAGGCTACGAGTGGCTGAGTGGGGATCTCAGGGAGTCTCGGCCCAGGTTTCCTTGTGAGCTTTGTGGGAAAGGCTTCACTCGTAGATACAACCTAAAAGTACACCAGCAGGACGTCCACTATAACCCCATACAAATGGCATTTTATTGCACGCTGTGTGGCAAACAAACCACCAGCAAGAATGGTCTCAGGCAACATTTACTCAAGTACCACCCCAAACACTGACACAGCGACCCCACGGGGTCGTTACACTTCCCGCAGTATTAACACAACCACCATAACCTCATTTTGAGATGCCAAGCGTCCCAAAATCATATCTACCTCTCGTTTCAAATAAATCTCCTCAGCATATGTCAGTTGTATCAACAAAACCACCCCAACCTCAACTAAGAAAATGCCACTGCCGTACAAGACTGAGGGATCAAAAGAGAATTATATAGATATTGCTATTTTAGTCACTGCTAACATTAGTGCCTAGGTGCCAAAGACAGCCAGAACGCGCAAACCTCATGTCATATACCTCCACAATGTATGTATGTTGACCATATATATATAGATATATGTATGTATATTAAATGATGAAATAACGTACACTACATAATCACAAACCCACATGTACAGGGTATTTGTACAGTAGAAATATACAATAAAATACTCAATACAAATAGTAGGCGTTGTTTTGTGTAACCTCGGGAACATGTGAAATGGAGGAGGAAGAGGAAGAAAAGGAAGTGAAATGGTTGAGAAATAAAAAAAAAAAAAAAAAATAAAAAGAAATAACAAGATAAAGATAAAATATAAATATAAAAATGAGAAATATAATAAAGTATATACACAAGCTATAATGGAGGAGGAGGAGGAGAGTGGGATAGAAAAAAGAAAAGCAAAGTAAAGGAAGAAAAAACTCAAGAAAAGAAACGTGTCAGGGAACCCGCGCCGGTTAGTTCACACGGCCGCTTGGGTCCGCGGGATCGCGTGTGACCTTGGCCTTGAAAGCTGGAGGTGCTACTGTCTGCTCATCCCTTCCCCCTCACCCCCACACCTTCCCCGGGACGGCCCCGCTTGTCAAATTCACGTAAGTTCAGCTCACACCTGACTTGGCTTTCACTTTGATTTGATTTATGGAACGAAAGAAAAAGTAAAAGAAATGTATATTTTTTCATTTGTGAACATTAGAAAGGGTGTTTTTTGTTTATATAACTGGTTTTATTTTTATTTTTATTCATTTTTAACTTAGTTCAGATGGAAAGTAAAGCAAGGGATGTAGACGTAGAAGGGGAGGGCAAAGAAGGGTCCTGAAAGCCGGTTCAATGGCTGCTTCGGTAGGGCTTTGTGGTGATGGTCGAGGCAGTCGATTTCCTGTTCATGATCTGAGCTGAGAAGTCTCTCCGTGTGTCAGTAAGGACTGGGATTCATGCTATCAATTAGTAAAAATAATTGCCATACTTGGCACTTGCACTGGTGTATGCTCGGGCCTCAAAGGAGTCCGCTAGTTCTGCGATGGGGCATTGATGCTGTTATTGGTGGACACCAGAAAGGTAAACAACCATAAAAATTGATCAGATGGCGATGGATGATGACCATGATGATGATGATAAAAGGGAAGCCTGGTGGACGGTGTGACTGACCTGGGCCTCTTTCTTGTTTTTCAGGCCGGTCAGCATCTGCCACTACCCCCTCCACACCAACCAGTCCTTCACTGTTGTCCTTCCAAATTCAACAACAACAACAACAGCACCAGTGCCAACAACCACAACAACAACAGCACCAGTGCCCACATTGCATGAAAATGCTGTCCTCACGTCAAAGCCTCCTTAGGCATTTTGAGGATCGGCACGTGATCACACAGCCCTACCGATGCGCTATCTGCGGCAGCCTCTGCAAAACTAAGAATGCGCTGCAGAAGCACCATTATACTTACCACAGGGGCTTGCCATTGAGAATCCTTTAAAAGTTTTCATTATATTTTTATAGTGGATGTGTATAAGCCATAAGAGGGAGATGGTGATGGCGGCGGTGGTGGTATCCCCCCCACACACTCCCCTTTTGAATACTCGTTCCTATGCTGTGTTAGTTGCTCTCATATACATATATAAATATATATATATATATCAAACTTTTGGGAAATCCAAGGCATTAAAAGTCAAAGCATCCGAAAATGAGCAATCACGCCGTACAAACGAAGAAAACACCCACTTACCACGTCCTCTTCGGCTCTGGAAGAAAAACAAAAAACAAAAAACGTGTTGTGTGTCGAGGAGGCCTCTGAAGTTTTTTTTTTCTCTTTTTTGTTTAACAAAGTGTTCCTACTTGATGGTGTATGATAACACAAAATAAGATGATAAAAGAGACACTGGCGACCTCCACCATACATTAGCATACGTTTAGGCCTCATTCACACGGCTTTGTTCGAGACCCGCCTTGTAAGTGATTTTAATATATATATATACATAAAAAATGGTGGTCGTCGTCACGTGGTCTTGCTGCCCGCCGAAAGTAAACTTTGTACGACCGCCTCTGCTTCGTGAAACACTTAGAACGACCTCCTGCCTTGTTGCCGGGGCGTCGATCCTTGTACTAACCTCTTAGGGGAGACTCCAGCGCAACGTTGACTGGACTATTATAAGTATATAAGACTTATATAAATATATATATATATAATCGTTGAATTACCACATGTATAGTTGTTATATAGTAGTGCGCGATGAGTTTGTGAAGCCACTGTAGGGAACCCCGATTTATAGTTTTTTTATGGTTATTATCTCGTCCGCGGATATGTCCCAAGGGTTAAAAAAGTGTAGAAGACGAAACGCAGTTGATTCTGTTCACGCATTTATATAGTTGATTGCTGAGTTTAGAATGATAATAAAGATGATGAAATATAGGAAATTACACTTGCCAATTTGTAAGTCTTGATAGAGCTGTTGGTATATCTGATTACATCTGAAAGAAAAATCGTCTTAACAAAATAAGATCCGTGTTTTAGATTCATTCCATTCGATTTTTTTTTTTTTTTTTTTTTTTTTACTAAAGCTCCGCGTGTGTTTGTTTATCTATCACATACATACAGGTCCGTGTGTACACACACACACACACACCACACACACACACACACACACACACACACACACACACCACAACACACACACACACACACACACACACACACACACACACACACACACACACACCACACACCCTCTCTCTCT